AGGTACCCGAGTTAGCAATTTTCCCCCTAAAACTTTCATACGCCCTAACATGAGTACCATGCATACCAGGGGGCTGAATTTGAAACATTTGAGTAGTGCTTGGATCGGGGACATTTCCCTAAAGTTTGAGCTTTCTAGCTTTCCAGGTACCCGAGTTAGGAATTTTCCCTCTAAAACTTTCATACGCTCTTACATGAGTACCACGCATACTTGGAGGCTAAATTTGAAATCTTTAGCTAGTACATGCACAGGGAATATTCTTACAAAGTTTCAGCCGCTTAGCTCGTATGGTCCCCGAGATCGCTTTCCCCCCAAAAAATTTGCATATTTTTTAAAACGTCCGTACGCGGCACCCAGGCATCCAAGGGGGATGAAATTAAAACGGGAGGGTCGCGCATGGTATAGGTTCGTACTCGGCACCCAGGCGTCCAAGGGGGATGAAATTAAAACGGGAGGGTCGCGCATGGTATAGGCCACATCCCCAAAGTTTCAGCCTTCTAGCTTTTCTGGGTCTCGAGTTGAAAGTGGGTGACAAAAAGTGGAACACAGACAGATACACACATACACACACAGACAGCCTCTTCCCAATATGTGTTTTTGCAATTTACATATATGCAAAAATGACAAATTCAAATTTTTTGGTAAAAATGCAAATTTCCAGTTCATTAAAAATTGGGAGTATTGCTTGAACGATCATTTGTCAAAAAATCCATTTCATTTACATATACGATTACGACTCAGGTCCAGGTTGCGGACGATTTTTGGGTTGAGGAGCTGCTTGAGGCTCTGGTTGGGGGGTTCGACAGCTGAGTTTAAAATCTTTAACTCGCACGTGCATAGAGGATATCTCTGCAAGGTTTCAGCTTTCTACCTTGCTTGGTTCGCGAAATTGTTTCTTGCCAACATATTTCTTTGGGGATCCCGTACGCCGATTCTAGGCGCATATGTGGAAAAATCTTAAAACGGGTGGATGGCACACGGGGTAAGAACATATATCCAAAGTCTCAGCCTCCCAGCTTTCCTGGTTGCTTAGATGAAAGTGGGTGACAAAATGCACTCGCTTCCGAACACACACACAGGCAGCCTCTCGAAAATATGCGTTTTTGCTGGCTGTAGCAGCGCTGTAGTGCTGCTATAGCGCTGCACAGCAAAAACTCATAAAAACGGTCGCTAAACGGAAATTGTTTATTTCCGTTTATGCAGAATTTACGATGATTTACAGCATTGAGTGCACAAGGTGGGTGTGAAGGAACAATCGTTCATGCAGTTAGCCTAATTACTTCAAGCTTGATGAAAAAAAGCATGATTGCACCGGCTTGCCTGGTGCATTCCAGCCTGGGTTACGCATTTTTGCCGTGCAGCGCTGGAGCGCTGCAACAGGTAGCAAAAATGCATATTGCAACGATCCTGCCAGTGTGTGTTCGTTTGTCCGGGTATTTCAACTCACCAACCACGTAAGCTTTGAAGCTGAAATTTTGGCAGTGTGTTCCCTCAGCCAAGTACCACCCCAGGACCACAGTATCGACCCTCATGCACGTCTGGGCCTCGCGTAAAAGTTTTGACAAAAAAATTGCTAACTCGGGAACGAGAAAAGCTAGAATGCTGAAACCTCATGTATGACTAAAAGATTTCAAATTCAGTTGCCTAGGACTGCCCGTTACTCAAGTACGATCACACGGAAACTTTGGCAGGAAAATCACTAACCCAGGAACGAGAACGAGAAAACCTAGAAAACGAGAAAACCTAGAAAGGTGAAAATTTAAGGTACTATTGTCCATTCATGTACGACCAAAAAATTTCAGAGAAAAGTTAAAAGCTGAAACTTTAGGGGGATGTTCTTTACCCACGTACGACCAAAACCAGGTGTTTGGAAGCGCCATGGGCTCACGTATGGGGACATGGAAATTTTGGCGGAAAAATCATTAACAAGGAAACGAGAAAACCTAGAAAGGTGAAAATTTAAGGTACTATCGTCCATTCATGTACGACCAAAAAATTTCAAATTCAGCTCCTTAGAACCGTCGTACTTATGTACGGACACGTGAAGGTTTTGATGGGAAAACTGCTAACTCGAGGACGAGAAAATTTGAAAGGCTTTAATTTTAAGGGAATGTCTGCTACTCATGTGTGATTAAAAGATTTCAAATTTAACTCTTTTAGCGCGGTCTTTTCAGGGACCAGCAACTTTCCATTTGTCAAGTCTCTGAAGTCGACATCAACAACTGACATACCACATAGCTGCGCAATGAACTTCCGGAACATCGAGGGCTAGTATGCTACAGGGCTAGCTACTGTGATTCCTTGCGATCTTGCAAAAACGCATGTTCGCACCGGCCCGTCTGGTACTTTCCAACTTGCTATGCGTTTTTGTCTATATGCCAATTTGTAAAAACTTACATTGCGACGACCCTGTCTGTGTGTGTATGTTTGTGTGTGCGTGTACTCGCACTTTTTGTCACCCACTTTCAATTCGAGAACCAGAAGCGTCCTAAAAGTTTGAAACTTTGGAAGTATGTGCCCATACTATGCGCGATCCTCCCCTTTTAATATCATCCCCCGCGGACGCCTGGGTGCCTCGTATGGATGCTTTAAAAAATATGCAAATTTTTTGGCGGGAAAGCGATTTGGGAACCAGACAAGATAAAGGACTGAAAATTTGTAGAGATGTTCGCTGTGCATGTGTTAGCTTAAATTTTCAAATGCAGCCTCCAGGTATGCATGGTACTCACATAAGGGCGCATGAAAGTTTTGACGGGGAAATTGCTAACTCGGGAACAAGGGAAGCTAGAAAATTGAAAATTTGAGGGGATGTCTCCTGTCCAAGTACGACTTAAATATTTCAGATTCAGCCCTCAGACACGTGTGGTTCTTACGTACGTGCACGTGAGAGATTTGACGGGAGAATTGTTAACTCGGCAACCAGAAAAGCTGCAAGGCTGAAATTTTAGGGTGATGTTCCCTATCCACGTGCAATTTAAAAATCTCAAATTTAGCTTTCCGGTCACATGAAGTACCCACATACGAACATGTGGAAATTTTGATGGAAAACTGCTAACTCGATAGAAAAGTTGGAAGGCTGAATTTTTGTGGGAATGTCTCCTGTCCAATTGCAACTAAAGTATTTCAAATTCAGCCTTGATGTACGCGTAGTTCTTATGTGTGAGCACTTAAAAGTTTTGGCGGGAATATTTCCTACTGAACAGCCAGGTTACTTTTAAAGAACAACCGTCAAATGGGAATTGTACATTTACTTTATGCAAAATTTATGGTAACTTATGTTAGTGGCCGCAGAAGGTAAGTATTAAACAACAACCATTCATGCAGTTAATGAATTGAGTACTTCAAGTCTGGTGCAAAACCATATGATTGCACGGGCCCGCCCGGTGCGATCCAGCCTGGATCTAATTCTTCAGCTCTTTTATTTTCTTTAGTAAAGTAATTTTCGCACAATTTCGGCTTTTATTGTTCAGCTGGTGATTTTTTTTGCTTTGCAAAAATGGAGCGCAAATCAGAAAATTTCGCAATACATTTTGACCTGAAAGATGCACTGAAGGAGTACCTTTCGTACTGGAAGATCGTGACTGAAACTAACTCGTCCTATTCGTTTGGTGTGTAATTCGATTGCAAGCCCTCTTTCTTGCCCTTCTTCAGCCGTTGCAAAGCCTAAAGTTTATAGAGAAATTGTTTATCACAGCTACGATTTGTTAAGAACCGTCAGGGTTATGTAAGCCCACACGAATTTTTTAGGTGTTTCATCAAAATTTAAATTGCGAAAATCGCAAAATCTCGCTTGTTTCACCTTTATCTTCTCTTCCAAACATCCACCGTCAAAAAAGCAAAGAGAAAAAGAATAAATGACTATTCACCATTACTCATAACCGTGTTCAATAAGATAATGTTGGTGCCACTGTCATTGGCCACGCTCAAGAAGCCGTACTCGCTATGTAACTCCTTCAAATCCCAGTTATCCCATGCAAACGCCCTGGAAGAAATCTGGCGAATGAAGAAGGCCCTCATCTTTATTTTTCATATTAGTGCAGTAGCACGGTGTCGTCGACAAAAAGTGACAACTTAGGAACTTAACGCCAAAGGCTTTAGTTAAAATCGCAGAAAAGATAAAACTATTTAAATATTTCTTCAATCACGCTGAATCTTCTAGAATGTTCTGTTGCAAAGAAAAGGAGAAAAGGAAGGCAAACAGAAAAGAGAATATCACGACTTCAAGTTTCAACTAATGCTTTGACCAGTGTCCTGTTCGGTAGCGTTTTTTTCTTTTTTCAGACGAAAACCAAATCAATCTTGGTGCTTTACTGACATTCTTTCTTGGTACTGGGCAATAGTGGTCTCTGAGCAAACATTATTTCACCATAGAAACAACTAAGTAAATATGAGATATTTCCTCGCCTCAAGAATTATGCCGGTATCATCCGCATTATCATTTCTTCTAAAGTTTGCTACGATCACGCCCTACTTCCTAATATTTTAGTCTATCGTGGATGAGTACTAAAGTTAGTAATGAGTTGTTCGCGACTCACCATTTTAGGAACACCCGTTCTTACTACACATTTTTTTACTTCAAATCTAAATTTATTACCATAACCAACATAGTGACGAGTTCCAACTGTGGTACTGAGGAAAAAACGAGTTCCAACCGTGGTCCTCCTAAAATTTCAGTTTCCTGGCTCAACAAGTTTTTATGCGTTTTTGCTTATATGCAAACTACAAAAACGCATATTGCAACGATCCCTTCTGTGTGTATATGTTTGTGTGTGTGTATGTATTCGTTTGTCCGAATACTTCAATATGGCAACCAAGCAAGCTCTGGCGCCAAAATTTTGCTAGTGGATTCCTCAGCCATGTGGCACGCCAGAACTGCGGTACAAAACCCCATCGCATGTATGAACCCCGCGTACAAGAGGTTGAAAGTTTTGATGGGAAAACTGCTAACTCGGGAACGGGAAAAACCAAAAAGCTGAAATTTTGAGATTATGTTCCCCGTCCACATAAAACTCAAATACTTCAAATTCAGCTCCCGGGTGTGCATGGTTCCCCCGCACAGCCCCGTGAAATTTTTTGGCGGGGAAATGGCTAACTCGGAAACTAGCAAAGCTGGGAGGGAACTAGCAAAGCTAGGAATTTTCAGGGGATGTTCCCAGCCCACATACGGCTTAAAGATTCCAAACCCAGTCGCTAGGTATTCCGCCAGGTCACGTGCGGCCCAGTGGAAGTTTTGGTGGGAAAAAAGGCTAACTCGGGAACCAGAAAAACCGGAAAGCTGAGATCTTCAGAGAATATTCCCCGTCCAAATACAACTTAAAGATTTCCAATTCAGTTTCCGTGTGCGCCTGGTTCTCGCGTACGAGCACTCAAATTTTTGTTGGGAAAATTACTCATTGAACAGCTGGGTAATTTTCAAATAAACAGCAGCGCGCACCAGACTAGCCGGTATGATCATGCGTTTTGTGCAATTCAGCCCATCAAACGATTGCCTTTTAATGATTTTCAGTGCTTTGTACTTCTGTCTATGCAAAAATAGTTCAAAGATTGGAAAACAGTTAAAAATTTCACGCACCAGCGCATGAAAGCTGAATTCGAAACCTTGAAAGGTGAATGTCTTTCCGTGATTCCCGAGTTAATAGTTTACCCGCCAAAATTTTCATGTCCGTAGGTGGTACTCGAGGACGCGAGAATGCTGAATTTAAATGGGCAAGGTTGAGCGTGGGCAGGGAGTCATTGCCCTAAAATTTCAGCCTCCTAGGTTCTGTAGTTCCCGAGATATTAATTTACCAGTAAAAGACTTTCACGGCGCCGTACGTGTTATCAGCAGGTACGGGGAGGTTGAATTTGAATGGACAAGGTTGAGCATGGGCGGTGGGTCATTGCCCTAAAATTCCAGCCTCCTAGACTCCGTGGTTCCTGAGATAGTAATTTACCCGTAAAAAACTTTCACGGGGCCATACGTGTTACCCGCAGGTAGGGGGAGCTGAATCTAAATTTGCGGGGTCACACGTGGGTGGGGAACGTTCTCCTAAATTTTCAGCTTCGTAGCTTTTGTGGCTCCCGAGTTGAAAGTTGCGGAAAAGTTGCTGCGGACACACACACACAGAAAACCCCGTGACAATATGCGTTTTGTACTGCTGTTACACAGCACAAAACCCATAAAAACGGCCTCTGAACGGAAAATGTTTGTTTCCTTTTGTGCAAAATTTACAATGATTTACAGTATTGAGCGCACAAGGTAGATGTGAAGAAACAACCGTTCATGCAGTTAACCTAATTACTTCAAGTTTGATGCAAAAACGCGTGATCGCATCGGCTCGCCTGGTACGTTCCAGCCTGAGTTGTTTTGATAGACCGAAACCTTGTCTAATTTATTATGTTTTTCATAAATATCATAATTATAAATTATGATGCTTTGATCAAAGTCTAAGCTGGTTATTTCCCTTTCTCTAGTTGTCATATTAGGAAATTCTTCACCTTCGAAAGGGAACTTCTAGTGCCACAAAAAAAGCCTGCCGTTGCACACATTCACTTCCGCATGCAGAAATAATAGTGAAATTATGTCATACGTGTATTTGAGTGCACTGAGTACGCGTCTGTCTCTCGTGATTAGTTCAAAACTGAGTTCTTCACCATAAGTGAACGTTGGGATCGTTGGGAAAAGCGCTTTGCCACCGAACTCGGAGCGCCATCGACCGATCAAAAACGCCACTGATATTAGAGCCATTGGCACTCTTCTCAGATCATACTCTAAACATTCCACCAGTAAAGCTAGACTTTGCTATCATACATGCAAAACGTAAGTATGGGATAATAATAATTCAGAAGTTCCTTTTTATTATACTTTTTTGCCTAAATGCAAATTGCAAAAACGCATATTGTGACGACTTTTTTTTTTGTGTGTGTTCATTTGTCCGGTATTTCAACTCGGCAACTAAGCAAGCTCCAGCGCAAAAATTTTGCTAATGGGTTCCCCGGCCAAGTACTAGTACAGGACCGCAGTACCAACCCTCACGCAAGTCTGGACCCCGCGTACAACAGGGTAAAGTTTTGGCAGGAAAACTGCTAACTCGGCAACGGGAAAAGATTGAAAGCTGAAATTTTGAGGTTATATTCCCCGCCCACATACAATTCAAAAATTTCAAATTTAGCCCCCAAGTGTGCATGGTTCCCATGTACAACCCCGTGAGGTTTCTTGGTGCGAAAATCGCTAAGTTGGGAACCAGAGATGCCTGGAAGCTGAAATTTTAAGGAAATGTACCCCGCCCATGACAACTCAAAGGCATCAAATTCAGCCACTAGGCATGCGTGATTCTTACGCATGCTCCATGAAAGTTTTTGACGGGAAGAATTGCTAACTTTGAAAAGAGGAGAGCTGAGAGGCTGAAATTATCAAGGGATGTCCCCAGCCCATATACAGCTTAAACTTATCAAATTCAGCTCTCAGACATGCGTGGTTCTCAAGTACGGTCCCGTGAAATTTTTTAGGGGGAAAACGGCTCACTTGGGAACCAG